TTACAATAAGGAGTTCTTGTAGTGGGGTTTCTACAAGAAGTGCTTTCTTGGGGGCAAGAAAGTGGTTATCTTGAATGTAGGAGTATATGCATGTGTTGTATGCTTGTAAAACTTCTTCATTAAGATAGTGGAACAAATCTTGATCAGGTTATGATTGAGGACTAGATGTAGGTCACATGTGGAGTGGCTGAACCAGGATAAAAGACTTGTGCATTCTTCTCTCTCACTCTTATCTTTTACTTTGAGTAAAATCTTGGTTGAGTGTTAAAGTGAATAATCTTGATTAATATGTTTGTATGCACAACATTGCTGTAAAATGAATCAAAGTGTTGCATATTAAGTGTTCTTAACATTGAGCTTTATCAAGATTAATCAAGAAAGCATATAGGACTCATTCTCATTAACAAGTCTTTCAAGGAACTTCTTTGAGAATTCATATTAGAAAAGTTTAAGTTGAAATAAAGATCCTTAGAACTCTGAAAAAAAAAATTTAAGTGTCATAGAATCCAATTCACCTCCCTCTTGGATTGAGCCATTCTTTTCTAACAATAATGTGACATCGGGGAATGGGATTAGAATATGATTTTATCTTTTCATGTTGATCACCATTTCTTTTCGTATTTAAACATTATTGAAAACCTTATGTTTTACAATTATTTTTAGTTGATTGGATGTTCAGAGGTGAATTACATGTGAACTTATTTTATCTAAGTTGTAAATGAATTTCTTCCTTATTTAATTGTTTTATATGTTGGAGTATAATGAGTGTCACATCTATTATTTCTTGTAGAATTTAGGAACTCTAACAACAAAATTTTGCTCTAATGCTAAATTTCTTATGAGTTTTAACTAAATTTTAGGGGTTTGCAATTGATTTTACATCTTTATATTTTTATTTTTATTTTAACTAAAAATATTATTGTTTCTGGATTATGATTTTAAAATAATAAATATAAAAAAAAATTAAAAATGATTTTTTGTGCTAAATTAAAAATGTTTTTTCGTGCTAAATTAAAAATGTTTTTTTGTGCTAAATTAAGTGCAAATTTATGATATTTAAAACAATAATTTTAGCTATTTTATTGCGTTAAACTGAAAATAGTAATTAAAAAAGAAAGTAATCGTGGACCTACAAAAGTATGTTGAGAATGTTGTTAACAACAGTTGGATTGGAGGAAAAATTTTGTTAAAGGTTCGAAAATAATGTGGCATTGTAGGGTCCACAAGGTAGAGTAAGAACTCAGGTATCTCTGATATTTAGTTATTTAAGGAAGTTTTTCTAGTTTTTTTTTTTTTTTTGGGCTTTATTATTTTATGTAAGATTTAAGAATTCTTACAAAATTTTGCTCTAATGTTAAATTTCTTATGAGTTCTTAACTAAATTATAGGGGCTTACAATCGATTTTATATATTTATATTGAATTAGATTTATTTTCATTTTAACTAAAAATATTATTATTTTTGAATTATAATTTTAAAATAATAAATATAAAAAATTACTTTAAATTTATTTTATTTTTTGTGCTAAATTAAGTTCAAATTTATGATATTTAAAACAATAACAAAAAAAATTACTATTTTACTGTGTTAAACAGAAAATAGTAATTATACAAAAGTATGTTAAAAGATTTTGTTACACACTGTTGGGTTTAGGGTTTCTAAAAACAATGTGGCATTTAAGGTTCCACAAAAGTAGAGTAAGAACTCACATATTTATGATTTTTGATGATTGGTTACTTAAGTGAGTTTTTTAACTTTTTTTTTAATTCTATTATTTCATAAAAGATTTAGGAATTTTTACGAAATTTTGCTCTGATCCTAAATTTCATATAAGTTCTTAAATTAATTTTAGGGGCTTACAATTGATTTTACATCTTTATATTTTTATTTTAACTGGAAATATTATTATTTCTGAATTATGATTTTAAAGTAATAAATATACAAAAAAAAACCTAAAAATCACTGTAAATTTATTTTATTTTTTGTGCTAAATTAAAAAAGAATGTGCTAAATTTAGTGCAAATTTATGGTATTTAAAACAATAATTTTTACTATTTTATTGTATTAACTGAAAATAGTAATTAAAAAATAAAGTAGTTGTAGGGCCTACAAAAGTAAACTTTTGGATTGGAAAAAAAAAAAATTTCCATCAGATTTTAAATTAATGTGCCTAGGGTCTACAAAAGTAGAGTCACAACCCACGAATCTCTTATGTTTAGTTTACTTGAGTGAGTTCTATGATGTTTAGTTACTTAAGTGAGTTTCGTAATTTTTTTTTTGTGGGCTTTATTATTCCATGTAATATTTAGGAGCTCTTACAAAATTTTGCTCTAATACTAAATTTTTCATGAGTTCTTAATTTTAATTTTAGGGGCTTATAATTGATTTTACATCTTTATATTTTAACTAAAAATATTATTTTTTGAATTATGTTTTTAAAATAATAAATATGAAAAATTAAAACTATGATAAATTTATTTTATTTTTTGTGCTAAATTAAAAATGATTTTTTTGTGCTAAATTAAGTGCAAATTTATGATATTTAAAATAATAATTTTTTCTATTTTATTGTCTTAAACAGAAAATAGTAATTGGAAAATATTTATATATTGGGTTAAATTTACTGTAAATTAAAAACTACAAAATCTTAAAAACAATCATCTTTAGTTTTTTTTTTTCCAAGATCGCTTGTTCTATAGTCTTCCTTTCTTTATGCTATTTCTCTTTCCTCTCTCATACCTTGTGTTTGGTACAAAGAAAAGAAATAGTTGAGAAATAAAAAAATAAAAATAAAAAAATAGATGTGTAAAAATAGATAAAATGTATATATATAGTAGAAATTTGATTGTTTAGATTAAAAAATTGAATAAAAAAATAATATTTAATTATTAATAAGCACTTGACAATAATACAGAATCTTTCATTTCCAATGCTCTACAGAGTGAGATGTAAGATAAAAGTTACTCCTGTATTAATTAGTTAGTATCGATTCAGGTATGTTCGAATTAGTACAAAAGAGAAGGAAAGAAAAATGAAATGATATTAAAGTTTCATTGTTACTTAAAAAAAAATTCTACTACCTCTTATTATTCCTATATATAATATTTTTCGTATTTGTTTATTATCTCCTGTTATAAGACTTTTTTTAATTATAATATGCATTAATTATATTTTATCTAAAATATTCTTATCTAATTAACAGTTTTTTTTTTAAATAATAAATGCTTGAAATTAATTGGATAAAAAAAACTCTCTCTTTCTCTTTTATTAGGATTAGAGAAAATAAATAAACACAGAGATATCTCTATCTTCTAAACATTAATTAATTAGATAATAAATAATTAAGTGAAAAGATAAAATGTTAATTTAAGAGATGATAAAGATAATTTTGAAAAAATTATTTAAATTATTGACAAATTTAATACACTTACCTTAAATAACTAATTTTTTTAAAGGGTCTAATTTAGTAAAAGTGTTTCATAATTAGGTACGTAGGTAGTAATTTATTACATATTGTTTAAAATAAAAATAGAATGATATGAAATAGGATAAAGTACATTTTAAAATAAGTTTAATGATCTAACATCGTAAAATAGTTTTACATTGTCAAATAATTAAATATTTACCATTAGTGTGACTTCTTATTTAATTGTTATAAAGTCAACAACTTATCATAAATAATATTTTGTAATCGCATCACTTATTTTTTTGTTTCAAAATACAGTTGGAGAAATCTCTAGTATAATTTTAATTATTGAACAAACAATAAGACTTATTCATTGATTTTAAGAAACTAATTTAACAACTCCTTTGGTCTCATAATATGTAAGATAAAAAAAATAAGTCTAAAAAATGTGTCTTCTTAATTTTTTGACTAAATTATATTTTTGGTTTTTTATCTTATTTTTTGTATTGATTTTGGTCCTTTATCTTTTAAAATATTCATTTTAATCCTTTATTGCTTAAATTTGGACCATTTTGAAACAATAATTGTTTTCAATTTTGAGACATAATTTTTTATCACTTTTTGACTAATTCAAGACTTGAAACTTGTCTCTTTAGATTCATTCATATGAAAAATGTTGAACGCAATTGAAGTTTAAATATTAAAAAAAATTGTAACAAACATGGTAAAAATTGCATAAAAACAAGTCCAAAAGGCAATTAAAAAATTCAAAAAATACAATTTCATACAAATTTCTAGTTACTTATGAGATAAATTTTTACATGATTTTTACTATGTATATAAACATTTTGGATTCGAACGTCAATTGAAACTCGTAATTTTTATTTAGTTGAATATCATATTACAAGTTTCACATTTTGGATAGTCAAAAATTGATTTAAAATTATATTGTAAAATTAAAAATAATTATTATTTTGAAATGATCAAATTGATCTAAATATAACAAATAAAAGACCAAAATAAATATTTTAGTAGATAAAAGATTAAAATGAATCTAAAAAATAAGATAAATTGATCAAAAGTATAATTTAGCCTATTTTTTCAATATAATATTAACTTTTTTTTCACTTATACCCTTTTTTTTTTTATAAAATTGTTGCGTTACATTGTTTAAAAAAAAGGGAGAGAAAGAGATTAATAATAAGTTTAATTTTGTAAAAGTATTATTCTCTTTTTATTTAATTTTTCTTAATTTGTATAAAACAATTTAAAACCACACTTATTATACCTAAAGTACCAAGATAACTACATAGAGAAAAACCACCTATTACAATCTCAGTCCAAATAAAAATAAATAAAAGAAAAACGTAACTAATCGTGAGAAAAAGTTGTACTACAAGTCAAAACTGTATCAATCTTGGAAAGATTTATTATATTAGAGATTATATATTTGCAAATTACTTGCAAAATAAATATGGGATGAATTTATGATGATAGAATCTCTAAAAATATGATGGTTCTAAGAGAGGCGCGAGAAATAATCTAAGTGCTTATTAAAATATCGAAAGATTATAATTTCTAACACGCAGGGACGTAATTGGTTCATCTTCCACTCGATGAAACGTAAGCTGGAATTACTAGTTTCTCTGTTGTCCTCATAAATAAAAAGGAAAATGTAAGAGAACAAAAGTACAAAGGGTTTTTTTCTCGAAGGATGAGGGAGACTCAAGAGTAAAGACTAGGATTACAAGTACAATAATTACAACACAGTGGTGTAATCGGCGAGCACCACGTGCTTGCCTCTCTTTCTTATATTTCAAGCCCTGCAACTGGTACAAGCTATTGAACCAAACCTATTAAGTACTGAATCGAAGCAAGTTAGTTAAAGAATGAACTTCCCACGATCCCAACTACAAATCCCTCAAAATGGGCCAACCCTTTTTAATAATGTCATTGATCTTGGCATCAAAATGCTTTTGGATATTTGGAGGGCAAAGCTCTGCCACATATCCATTCAATTTCGTTGCCAGGCTAGACCTCTCAAGCTCCTCTTCAGGCAGGTTCCCAATTAACTGAAGAAGGATGGTATTTTGCTTGAGTTCAAATTTCTGCATATTTAGAACAAAACAGGCAATATGAGTTACTGAATTTATTTAATTTAATGGGACGGAACCTTGAGAGACAACTTTTAAGTTTTCATCTGCTACAGAAAATTGTACATAGTAAAACACTATAATAGAAGCAACAAACACAGATTCAGTGTGTATTTGGATATTTGTTTTATCTATATTCCTTTTACGTTTGTGCATTGGAATGCATAAAATTTCCATTCAACGCCAATCAAACGGGTATCCAACAACATCACTCAATTTCCAACAATTTTTGCCCAGAATAACAAATCAACAACTCTAATAACTAATGCAATGCTTGCAGCTTGCGTGTTATTTTTCAAGGATGTAGAATGTATCGATTGAAGGCAGCTCAAAGTAGAATTTAACCCTCATGCTAGATGTCCTCTAAGAAAAATGAGTATTTGCAGACCTAAAAGGGGCTAATAGGAAATAGCCCCCAACCATTGATATGCACGAGACAACCAGGTGGTTTTAGTCCTCTGAAAATGAAAATTCAGAATTATGAAATCTACCTACAACTGCCTCCGGTACCAAGAATCAGGAACAGTAAGCAATTACATCTTTATGATGCACATATGAGCCAAAATTGGTGATGTTACTGATGTATTCATATTGTAATATGTATCTGTATGCAGTGTTGACACTCATAAAACTGTTCCATCCATATGTTTGGCTTATCCCCATATTTTTTTGTGTGGATACCTAGACTGTTACTCAAAAGTCCAACAAACAAATTGAATTTTCATTCTCAGCAATTACTTCAAAGCAAATTTGCACTTTTGCAATCTTTCCCTCATCAAGATCATCACACAGAATAGCAGATTTTCATCCTCACCATGTACGAAACACATTAGATTTTGGTTCGAGTGAGTGATTACCAATGGACCAATTTTATTTTACCTGGTTTACAAATACTAATATAATATATTTTTATTTAATACAAATTATCCTACCTATATCTTAATTTTAAAAAATAAAACATTGTATTTATCCCCACATCCATGCAACATAGCAGAAAATGCTTTTCTTAGAAACATTGACAAAGCACCGGACTACCAGCCGAAACCAATTATTTGGAAGGTTAATTCTAGGAAATATAGGATTTGGTTTCAATAATTACTGCAGCTTTAATAGTAATGAGGAAGATATTTCTGAGTGTGGTGTAATTCTTAATCAAATTAGACAGATTATGAGATCTTTTCTTTCTATTATTATTCAATATAGAAGAAGTGAAAGTAATTTGGTAACCTATTCCTTAGTTAGAAATTCTATTTTATTTGATTCTGAGAATATTCATAATGAAATTCCTCATAGTGTTCGGAATATTATTTTAATATAATGAATTTGATTCTATTGGTGTCCAAAAAAAAATGAATGTTAGGACTTAGTTTTAATAATCACTGCAGTTTTACTAACTGCCATGTGACAGTTTCTGCAGGGAACCATTATGTATTTTCATTTGTATTGGTGTGGTAATTGGGGGAACTATTAGGTCATGTGTTAGGAAGCTTTCTGGACAGAGAATAACTCCATGCTAGGACTTATAGTTTTAATAGTCATGGTAATTTTACCAAGTGCGATATGATAGTTTCTAAAGATAACAATTACCGATTTTCATTTGTATTGGTGTGGTAATCTTGGGGAGACCCTAAGCCTAAGGGCATGTCTTTGGTAGCTTTCTGGACAGAGAATCTCTGTGGGAGTTATCGAACTCAGGGAAAGCAAGAAATTGCTGTAATATACGTGATCTGGTGAGATTTAATCGTATTTCCATCTATTTCATATTTGAGTTCTATGAAACATCAATTGTAAATAAACATTTTGGAAACAGAACCTGGTGCTCTGGCTCAGCAGGGTAAAATGTTCCAAGTTGTAGAATTTGAGTAGTCACAATGCTTGTTCTTGACCTGGTTTGTTCCTGTTCTTTGCTGACAGCAGCCATTCTGGATTCTTCAGTTCCATTAACAAAAATAATAGATCTGCCAGAATATAAGGAGAGTTCAGTACTTAGCACGCAGCATGAGACTGGATATAGAGGAAGATAATAAGAAATCCGGGTTGGCATCAATACTCCTACCTATACTGATTACCCACATCAGGACCTTGGCCATACACTTGCCTAGGATCATGACTTGACCAGAAGACATCCAGGAGTTGCCTATAACTAATCAGCTGAGGATCATATTCAACCTGCATTGTAATAACAAGCCTTGATGGAAAATTCAATAAAATCAACTAACTCCAACTCATCATATTAATAAATTGATGCAGTTATATCTGGATATTAACATGTAGCAGGGATTGATGAATTTAGTTTGTTCATGGAATAAAAGAAAGTTACACCATCTTTAAAATGTTATGAAAAAATAATAAATATATAGTTTACATGAATCCAGAATCAAGACAACCACTTTATTGTGAAGCGTATTACAAAGTTATCTTTACCAGACATGTAAATAAACAAAAGCTGAACAACAATTCATATTAAACACATATCACAGTCCTTGCCATCCAGAGTTTAAATAGCCAACTGTTTTGAATTCCTCCAAAAACTTGACTATTTAATGTTTTATAAAAGCATAGGGATCTATCCATATCAAACAAAGCAAAGGAAGACACTAGTCTGGCCATGGACTTTGGAGTTTGGAGATTTCAAAAAAGTATGATATTTCTCTCAAGCATTGGTTTAGCACACAATGGGCATCCTTTATGCAACATTACATGGAATTTCTTTGCGAACAGAAAACCTTGTTGAGCACTTATTGGACTTGGATTCTTTAAATGTTTTTAGCTAACATTTCGACATTTTACTGTTCAATACGACAACCTAAGAACATGAAACATATTGAAATACACCTAGGACAAAAAATAAAAATAGAATAACTGCTTACCAGTCCTAATAACCGGAAATAATCATGACAAAACTTACATACAATACTATAAGTACTATTAGTATTGTTCTCCAATCAGAATTGATATTTTATTTCGACAATATACATTGACATTTAATGAAATCCTTCATCACACATTTTACCATCGTGAAACTCCAATTCAGATCGGAGAACACCAACGAAACCTATGGTCCTACACGTAAGTTTTATCCAAATAATTATGAGACAGCAGGGTGTTTGAAATAAGAGTTAACCATCCATACACTATCGATGTAAAGTTTTTTTTACTGCCAACTAATCATATCTTTTAAATTATTTTATTTTATTTTTATTTGATTAAATAAACAAATAGCATGGCACTATTAAAAGATATGATTGTTTGTCAGTGTAAAAAAATTTTATACTGGCAGTACATAGGTGATTAATTGAAATAAATCAACAAGCTCCAAAATCAAAAGATTCAAAACTACACCAAAATAATGATTTGATTATTCTAGCTACTAAGATTTTACTTTCCCGGTCTTAAAGAAGGACATAAAATACAGCCAGGTAGGTGGCTAACAAACACATCAATGTCTAAACAAAAAGAATTTGCACCGATAACTCATCAAACGAAAGTAAGAAACTTAGAAAATGCAGGTAAGATTGTAACAATCAGAAAACACCACTATTCAATTTGTTGATGGACAAATCTCATTCACCTATAATCCACAAAGTCATTTCAAACCTCCACCTCAGTTACTCAAACCTAGTCCATGCTCCACTAACTAGAAAACAGATTCAAGAAACCCTCCAAAGTAAAGCTATAACCAACAATTAAAACAGGAACAAGTAGAGAGTTTGTTGCATGTATGAGATTGAGAACCTTAACGGACTCGGCGTGGTCACCCAAGCTTCGGTATTCGGGGTTGGGCTTGGATCCGCCGGCGTAGCCTACGGTGGTGCGAGTGACGCCGGGCAAGCAGCCGAAGACGGCTTCGGATCTCCAGAAGCTTCCGAGGGCGAAGACGGCAACGCGCAGGCGGAGTGGGTCGGGCGGGTCGAGGGAGGATCGGGCGACCCGATCCGGGAACCTGATGCAGAGAGCGTTGTGGAAGAGGATGAGCAAGAGTAGTGAGACAAGGTGATGATGCTTCCTATTCGGAACTCCCATTTTGCCACTCGCCCAAGCGCTGCGTTTCGCCTCTGCTCAAATACCAGGGCGTGGGAACGACTTCAGTTTCGCTTGTCGTTTTTGGGAGGTGTACGTGGAGAGTGTGAATGCGAATGCGAATGCGAATGGCCCCAACGCGGCACCCTCCTCCTTTATGTCGTTTTAATCGCCGTTCTGATTTCCCTATATGATACGACACAAATGCATTAGAGGAGGTCGACGTTTCAAGGAAGCGAAGAGGACAAATTTTCAGTTATTTAAAAATTATTAATTATTAGCCTGTTTATGTTATATAAATTATAAATTTTAACTCCAAGGGTGTGGTTCAGCGGTAGGGGTTGATCCACGCTTAAGTAAGGTCAGGAGTTCGAATCTTGTCTTGTATGCAGCCGCGTTAAATCTTGGGGCCAGCTATCCCACCCTAAGGTGCCGAGGAGATACTTCAGGCACGAACCAAAAATAAATAAATAAATTATAAATTTCATTAATGTGTGAAATAACATTTATTTATTATTATTATTAAATGAATAAAATTTAAATATATTAATTTATTAATTTATTAATATTAATGATATTATTGATAAATTAATAAATATACATTAATATACTCGTAAAGAAATATATATTATATATGATTAAATGATTTTTTAATAGTTATACACAGTTATAATATTAGGAATTTGTGTCTAGTTATTTAAAGAGGATATAATATTTTTTTAATTTTTAAAGAGTATAATAATCCACTAAAAAGTAAACATTAAAAGTAGTTACATATCTTCAATATTTGCTTTATAATATATTAGAGGTCAAGGCATTTTATGTCTCTAATAATTATATACAAATAAAATATTAAAAAATTGTGTGTAATTATTTAAAAAGATATAAGAATTTTTTTTTACATTCGAGAAATATAATGCTTTACTAAAAAAATGAAGATCAAAAGTAATTACATATATATTTCTTTTATAATAGGTATAGATATAAATAAATGATGTTCAATTTTAACTTTTATTAAAGTTATATATATTTTAACTTTTATTTATATATTTAAAGAAAATTATTTTTAAAAGTAAAGATATGTTATTTTTTTTTCATTTTTAATCTTATTTTCTCTATCATCTCGCTTGTATATGTTTTGCTATGATAGAATTACTTGCAATTTGCTCCATATTTCGATTCTGAAAGCTCACTTGGATGTCCTTAACTTTCTCATATAGTAGTTCTTTTCTATGAAATATCTCTCACGTATATATATATATATATATAGAGGAGGGTTTAAACGACATTGGTGTAACTTTTACTAAGTGTTACACCACTCAATAACTTTATATTAAACGTGAATTTTGAAAATCTAACCGTTAGATTGAAAGTTCATATCTCTTAGATCATATATGTCAAATTTTGTTAAAATTGAACAACAACTTGAAGGTAATCAAAGTGTTCATATTTTAGTATATTTTAAAATGTATATATTACGTCAATTTTGTTTTATGAGAATGCAGTATCAAATCATTTTGGATTAATATAAAATTTTGTATATATGATCTAAGAGATATGAACTTTCAATCTAACGGTTGGATTTTCCAAATTTACGTTTAATATAAAGTTATTGAGCGGTATAACACTTAGTAAAAGTTACACCAGTGTCGTTTGAACCCTCCTCATATATATATATATATATATATATATATATACCTTCTCATCGTATTCATTACATCATTATTAAAAGTATGTAAAAAAATTATCAAAAGTAATTTATATCCTTACCAAAACTTTCATTCAAAACTCTTATCCCTTATTAAAAAAAAAAATACTTGCCCTTTTAATAAGTTATTATATTTTTTTAGAAGAAAAATTATTATATTAATAAACATATAGTGAACTTTCTTAATTTATTTCTGTACCTGTCAAAAGGATACACCGGTAATCTTCTTGTAGTCTAAAGGCCGAACGAGTACTCCGATCGAATATTCCGGTAAGCCGGGGGTGGAGATACTTGCAGAAGGCACTCCGACGCTCAAGTCAGAATAAGCACAAAAATCGATGACAATTAATGAACAGTGACGTTACCTTTTGACGTGAGCAATTTATACTGACATCCATGGGCCCAGGTGTCCTTGGGCCCCGTGACGACTATCGCATTAGGTAATACGTCCTTAATCAGCTTATGGATATGATTATCTCTTAACTCTTGATTAGGGATAATCTTACACTCCTGATTGAGGATCTGGGTTATTATAGTGGCCGATGTCTGATCGGCCACCCGGCTCGGCCATCTGGGTGTCGATTAGGTATCGGCAACCTGATTCGGCCATTCAAGTGCCGATTGGGTGTCGGCTAACTGGTGACCGAGTGGCCCTACTAGTACACTTGCCCCCTAGCCTTGGGGAAGGTATAGCTTCTTCAAGGGTAAAGAGATGGAGTTATGTCGAATGGGGAGTTGAAGGGTTAAGCAATCTCTACCGTTGAGTCTTGAAGATCAGACGGTTATACTTTTTCAAATATTTGAAGTTTCCCGCCTATTTCCCTAGCTATATATAGGGATGAGTGGTAGGGCCTCTCCTACACATCGCTCTCAGCCGAATCACATTCTCTGAACGAGTTCGAAGAGCTAACCGTGCGCTCCGAGTGACCGTTTCAAGCTTTGATTTTTGGTAAGTTTTGTTCTTATGGCTACTTCTTCTGAGAGCTCTTCGACCAATGAGACTCGGTCGTCATCATCCGAGGGGTCTTCATCCAGGGGTTCGGGGCATGCATGCGTGGAGATACCACTGAATGGAGATAGGCGGTCCAGCGATAGTGGGAGTACATCCGAAGAGACTTCGACCAGTGGGAGCCAAGAGACGCCGATTAAAGCGAAACGTGTCTCGAATCGGCAAAGATACGGGCCATCCGAAGTGCCGGAGTATGAATGGGTGAATGGCGAGGTAACCTCATACTATTCTCGCTACCGAGATACTTCAATGATTACAAATTTGTTGGAGTACACTAAGTGTTTGAACTTCGATGTTAAAGAGGAGCCGTATCCGATTGGGATTCAGGCTTCTTTTCCAATCACGACATGGTATGCTTGGACAAACAGGCCGACAGGATGGCGTCCTTCTATATGTACGATTGCCTGTAACGAGATTTGAAGGTAAAGCTGCCATTCAACGAGTTTACGATGGGGGTACTTAGGGTTTTGAACGTAGCGCCGACCCAACTTCACCCAAATAGTTGGGCTCAACTTCAAGGCTTCAAGCACTTGTGCCGATGTGTGAACATTAGGCCTTCACCATTACTTTTTCTCTATTTCTACTCTTCGCGGCCTTCGGATTTAGCCAAATGGGTATCTCTTAACCGAGTGGGGACTCGGCAGCTTCTGGATAGTTTTACCTCATCATATAAAAATTTTAAGGCTGGATTTTTTCGAGTAACCATTCGTCCGAATGGGCGTCGTTTCTTCTTCGGGAATGATGAGAGGAGTTTATTTCCTTTGTACTAGACGCGTGCCCCTCGGCCATATGATGAGGTGTCGGACGAGCTTCTCACCGCCGAAGAGCTACGAGATGTACAATTTTTGCTTCAATTGCCTCGGCGCTTGCCGACGAGGTCACTAATTAATGTAGTCGAATCACCCGGATGGGAGAACGACTTGATAGGTACGTGATTTGTCCCGTTTTTGCCTTAAGCTAAATGCATATTGATGTTCACTTGAATGTTTTTTTGTAGGAATCATGGTGGTGGCTGGCACTGATCAATTCAACATTCGGAACTTACTAGCTGGCCAAATGCAGCAGGCCAAAACTTCGGGGGCTGTAGGTAGCTCGTCAATTGCCCAAACTCCTCGACCGGAGCAGGATAACCGAAGCCCTCATTCTCCGACCCGTAAGCAAAAGAAGGGGAAGAAAGGGAAGGGAGTTGCTCAAGAAGGTCACAAGAGGAAGAGTGCCGAAGAGAGGCCTGAGAAAAGTAAGAAATCAAAGTAGACCGTGGCTTCTCCGGGTGGAACTATAATTTGTGTGCCTCCTGCTTTGATGTCAAGGAACTTCTGGGGCGAGGGTGCTTCGGCCGACTCTCTGATTCGGCCTGACAATATTTCAGAGGAAACCCGAGAGTTTTTGGGGCAATTGGATGTGGCCTCAAAATGGAAATACTATTGTGAGGTACAGTCTCGGTCCCTGGTGCTTGCGCATCAACTTGCCATGGGTCCGGTCGGCGAGTTGACGCAACTGAGACAAAGGCTTGGGGATGCCGAAAAGACAACGGCCGAGGCCATGGCAACGGCCGATGAAGCCCTTGCCAAGACTTGCCAACTTGCTGTCGAACTGGACGTGCAGAGGCGCAACAACGACACTCTTCGGCTGGACCTTCAAAAGGCAACCAACGAAGAGCAGCGCCGAGCAGAGGAGGCCAAGGCCGAGTTGGAACGATTAAAAGAGGAGGCGCAAGATCGCATCGTCGCCCAGCATGAAGCCGGCTTTCGGCATGCTCTTCGTTAGGCTAGGTACTTCGGTCGCTTTCGGGAAGGTTTTGAGTTTGACATGACTAAAGACTTTTACCAGGGGTCTTTCATGTCTTTCCAAGATATGCCCGAGGGAGCCATCCCCGATAGCGATGAGCCGACTGACTACCCCGAAGATGAAGACACCCACGATGTTTCGGGTGATGAGGTTGAGAATGAGCAAGAGGAGCCGAACCAAGACCAAGAGGACGAGCCTGAGACACAAGAGGATACCCCGAGCCACCCCGACGAGTGATCATTGACTTTGTCTGTAACGGCCGATAGAGCCCTCATTGTATCTCAGGTCGATAGAACCTGCCCTTTTTTGGTCAATGAAAAAGACAATGTGTTTGCGTACCGGAACGATGTTGTATGTCTTTAACTTAAAAAAATTTAAGCAAAAACTTTAGGTGAATTGAATATTCCATACTGCGTGTTAAGCCAAAACCGAAGAAGGTCTTTTGAGATAGTTACCTTCATGGGGACAACACCGATTGGACTCACTTGGAAGCGCGTACTTTTGGCTCAATACCGAATGAGTGTATTCGGATTTGCTTCCTCGCTGAGCGAAGACCGAGTGGGGAAAGGTACTTTTTCCGAACCTATGCCGAATGGACTCATTCGGAAGAGCTGACTTGTGGCTCTAAGTCGAATGAGCTTATTCGGACTTGGTCTCTTTTGATCAAAAACCGAATTAGATTGCTCGTACTTGCTTCCTTGTTGAGCCACGACCGAGTGGGGCAAGGTACTTTTTCCAAACCTATGCCGAATGAACTCATTTAGAAGAGCTTACTTGTGGCTCTAAGCCGAATGAGCTTATTCGGACTTGACTACTTTTAGAGCCTGTTTGCATGATTTTAAAGGCACGTCCTTGGCCGAGTGGGGTCACTCGGGAGGGAAGCCTGTTTGTACGATTTCGAAGGCACGTCCTTGGCCGAGTGGGGTCACTCGGGAGGGAAGCCTGTTTGTACGATTCCGAAGGCACGTCCTTGGCCGAGTGGGGTCACTCGGGAAGGAAGCCTATTTGTAACAACTTGAATGAAGATAATACACAGACTGAGTTGAAATGTGTTTCATTAATATGATGTGCCTCGTTAAAAACCTTGTCGGCCAAAACCCCTTTTCACTTTTTTATAAGGGGAGAAAAGACCGATCAAGGAAAAGAGTGCACTCTGCATACATTGATTGATAATCTTTACAAGAAATTTGGTTAACTGAAATAAGCTTTCAAGTGAGTTGAGTTCCACGTTCTTGGAATGACCTTTCCGGAAAGCTCTTCCAATTTGTATGCACCGTTGTCGAGAGAGTGGCGGATTCTGAATGGGCCGTCCCAGTTTGCTGCTAATTTACCTTCACGGGGGTTGCGTCTGGCCGATCCTTGAATGCGCCATACTAGGTCTCCTTCCTTAAAACATCGCTTTGAAAGCGTGGAATTGAATTGCCTGCTCATCCTCTGTTTGCATGCCTCGGCTACGATGCGTGCCTTGTCTCGGACTTCATCTACAACATCAACCTCTACCCGAAGGGATAAGTTATTGCTTGCCTCGTCAAAATGTATCCGACGGAACGAAGGCTCGCCAACTTCTACGGGGATCATGACATCCGTACCATATGTCAATCGGAACGGGGTTTCCTTTGTTGTGGACTGAGGTGTGCATCTATAAGCCCACAAGACTTCTATCAGCTCTTCGGCTCAAACGCCTTTAGAATCTCCTAAGCACTTCTTCAGTTCTGTTAGAATGACCTTGTTCGCAGCCTCGGCTTGTCCGTTTTACTGGGGATGTTCAACCGATGTGAATCGGTGTCGTATACCCAAGTTAGTGATAAATTTGTTTAATTTCTGATCTGTGAACTGAAGACCGTTGTCCGTTATAATGGCATATGGTATGCCGAATCGTGTGACGATGTTCTTCCACAGGAACTTCTGAACCATGTTGGCCGTGATCGTGGCTAGCAGTTCGGCTTCTATCCACTTTGTGAAGTAGTCGATAGCGACCAACAGAAATTTACATTGTCCTTTGGCGAGGGGGAATGGACCGAGGATGTCCATCCCCCACAGGGCGGCCAAGGAGCACTAATACTATGTAGCTCTTCAGCCGAGGCGTGAATTATGTTTCCATGGCGCTGACATTGCATACATCGCTTTACAAATTCGGCGCAATCGGTTTTAAGAGTTGGCCAGTAGTACCCCGCTCTCAATACCTTGGCTGCCAAAGTTCTTCCACCCGAGTGAGACCCACATATCCCTTCATGGACTTCTCTCAGGACATAATCTGCTTGTGCTGAATCAAGGCATTTCAGTAGTGGTGTGGAGAAGCCCCTTCGGTACAATTCTCCGCTAACAACTGAGTATCTGGCTGCCTGCGTTTGGAGCTTTTTGGCGGCTGACGGATCAGTTGGTTGCTTGCCCTTTTCAATATAATCCATTATCTCGATTATCCAAGTTTGTTGGGGTTCATCAACCGACACACATTCAACCGGGTTGACACTAGGAGTTGCAAGGTCGAGATGAAGAGTAGTTCGAAGCTGCCCAGGTTTTCGACTACTGCTAGCCAACCGAGCTAGTTGATCGGCACGCTCATTGTGTTCTCGGGGGGTATGTTTGACCTGGACTTCATCGAAAGTGTTGCGTGTGTTCTGAAACAAATGGTAATATTTCAACAAGTTAGAATCTTTCACCTGAAAGTGATCATTGACTTGCTCCGAAAAAATCTTCGAATCTGTCCAACACAATACTCGCCGAGCCCCAACCTCTTGGGCGAGCTGTAGTTCTGCCAGTAATGCCTCGTACTCGGCTTGATTATTTGAGGCCTTGAACGCAAATCGTAGGGACTGTTCGAGAACCAACCCGATTGGTCCTTTAAGGATTATTCCTGCTCCGCTACCTTGGCTATTTGAAGATCCGTCCACATGCATTGTCCACAAGTCATTCTCAAAGTGGCCTTTCGGCTGTAATTCATTTACAAAATCGGCCAAGCACTAGGATTTAATCGGGCCTCGCGCCTCAAAAGTTATATCAAACTCCGAAAGCTCAATTGAGCAGGCCATCATTCGCCCAGCCAACTCTGGTTTGCGCAAAACCTTGGCAATTGGGCAGTCAATTCGGACGACCACATGATGACTTTGAAAGTATTTCCGGAGACGACGAGCCGTGTGAACTAGTCCAAGCGCCACTTTTTCCAGGAGTTGATATCTTGTTTCTGCTTCTTGTAGCATTCGGCTAATAAAATACACCGGCCATTGCACGTCCTTTTCTTGCACCAAGACGGCACTTATGGCTTCATTCGACACGCACAAGTACACCACCATGTCTGCCCGTGGGTCGGGCTTAGAGAGAATGGGGGGAGCCGAGACGTTGCTTCAAATCTTGGAAAGCCTCTTCACAACCGACAAACCATTCAAATTTCTTGACTTTCCTTAACAAACCTACAATAGGCTTTGCTAGCTCCGCGATACATGGTAAAAATCTTGATAGGGATGTGAGCCGCCCGGCCAACTTCTGAACTTCCTTGAGGTTTTGGGGACTTCTCATATCAATGACTGCCCGACATTTATCGGGGTTGGCTTCGATGCCCCTTGCCGACAACATGAAGCCGAGAAATTTGCCCCCCGATACGCCAAACACACATTTTTCTGGATTGAGCCGCATGTCATATTTGCGGAGTTGATGGAATATTTCAGAAAGGTCAGCTATGTGTTGGGCGACGTCTGCCGATTTAACTACCATATCATCGACGTACACCTTGATATTCTTGCCGAGCTGGTGTCGAAAAATGTTGTTCATCAACCTTTGATAGGTTGCTCCTGCGTTTTTCAAGCTGAAAGGCATCACCCGATAATAATAGTTGGCGGTGTCGGTGATAAAAGCTGTCTTCTCTTCATCGCAGGGATGCATTCGGATTTGATTGTACCCCGAATAAGCGTCGAGAAAGGTGAGAATCCTATGTCCTGACGCACCGTCAACCAATCGATCAATGTTTGGGAGCAGGTAAGCGTCCTTCGGGCATGCCCTATTGAGATTAGTGTAGTCGGTACACATTCTCCATTTGCCATTCGTCTTTTTCACCATTACTACGTTCGCCAACCACGTAGTATACTGAACTTCCCGAATAAACCTAGCATCAAGTAATTTTGCAACTTCTGCTTCTACTGCAAGTTTTCGCTCGGTTTCCATTTTCCTTTTACTCTGAGCAACCGGCCGAGCCTCAGCGCATATTGATAACTTGTGACACATAAAGTTTGGGTCAATGCCAGGCATGTCGGAAGGTGTCCAAGCAAAAAGGTCCTTATTCCGAGTGATCACAAGACTTAGGGCAGAACGATCGTCCTCGGATATCTCGACGCCTATATACGTAACTTGAGTGGAGAGTGAACCGAGCTGTAATTGAACTTTTTCTTCTATTGGTTGTACGCGTTCTTCGTCATTCATTCTCGGATCGAGATCCCAAGTTACGGGCTCGTCTAATGCCAAAGGAGTGATAGCATGAACCCTCTTTGATTTTGATTGTCGTTCCTCCACCGAGGATATTCAAAAACTAGCGAAGTAACACTCTCGAGCAGCCTTTTGATCGGCATGGATAGTAATGATCTTTCCTTTGTCGGATGGGAATTTCATTGCTAGGTGTGGTGTTGAGACAATCGCTCCCAGCATGTTTAGTGAGGGGCGGCCGAGGAGGATGTTATATGACGTGCTGGCGTGTACCACGATGTACTTCACTTGAATTTCTCTGCTCTCCTGTTCGTCAAAACAAAAACGAGTAAAGAGATTAATATACCCCTTAGTACTTACCCTTTCACCTGAAAAACCGACAAGGGGGTCATCATATGGGATTAACTCCTTTTCTGAAATACCCAACTGTTTGAAGGTATTCCAGTATAGAATGTCCGCCGAACTGCCTTGATCGATTAACGTCTTCTTGACTATGCAGTTATGAATTTCTATGCTGATCACCATCGGATCGTCCGGCTCGGGGTCAATACCCTGAAAATCGGCATCTTATAGAATGTCCGCCGAACTGCCTTGATCGATTAACGTCTTCTTGACTATGCAGTTATGAATTTCTATGCTGATCACCATCGGATCGTCCGGCTCGGGGTCAATACCCTGAAAATCGGCATCTTTGAAAGTTATGGTTGGCAATCTTCGGGAAGGTTGCCTATCCACGGCATGTACTGATCGGATAGCCCGCAAGTGCCTCTTTTGGGCTGAAGAAGTAGAGCCCCCGCCCGCAAATCCTCCTGCGATTGTATTAATGACCCTTCTACGCGAAGATGTCGGGTCGTCTTTCCTGTCCCATGACCTGCTTCGTTCACGCCGAGGCCTCTCAGCTTGGTCCTGAGTTCGCCGATCTTGGTTTCGAGGCTGATATGAAGAGCGACACCGAGAAGAATCTGATCGATCGACAAAATTATGAAGCTAGCCTTATTTGATCAAGTCTTCAATTTTATCCTTCAGGGCGGCACACTCCTCTATGGAATGACCCCGATTGCGGTGATATCGACAAGATTTGCTGGTGTCAGCGCGTGGTGGAGTGGATGCCCTTTTCGGCACTGCCAAAACTTCCGATGAGAGAGCTTGTTCCAGTACTGCTGCTCTACTGGCATTTTGGGGTGTATAATGAGAGTATTTTGGTCCACGAACGGGTCTATCTCTTAATGCTATCTTTTTACCTCGGCCCCTGAACGGTTGTTCTACTTGTTTTTCGGCCATACTCACTGGTTCGGCTCTGGCTTGATTACGATATTCTTCCAACTCTTCCATTTGCATATACTTGTCAGCCCTCCTTCGTAGGTCATTCATATCCGAAGGAGGCTTTTTACAAATGCTATTGACGAACGGTCCCGGCTTTAAAGCCGTTGTGAGGTGGTGGAGCGCTACGGCCGGAGTGAGATCTCGGATCTCCAAGGCTGCCTTGTTGAACCGATCCATAAATGTCCTGAGCGATTCCTTTTTGTCTTGCCGAAGGCTGACCAGAGATAAAGAAGTCAAGCTATGGGGACGACTCGTTGCGAATTGAATGGTGAACTGGGCGGATAACATGTTGAACGAGTCTATTGAATTGGGGGGTAGCAGAGTGAACCAGCTCAAAGCCCTGCCTTTGAGAGACGTCGGGAAAATGTGACACAAGGCAGCGTCGTCCGTGGTGCTCAAGGTTACCTGCGTAAGAAAAACATCAAGGTGTTCATCAGGGTCGGTTGTACCGTCATATTTATCAATGGGTAATAATTTCCAACTATCGAGCAGGGACAGTTGCATAATAGAAGGTGTGAAAGGGTGGCGATGCGATCCAATAGTTGCCACGTCAGTGGGACGGTTGACTATGGGCAAAGCCGAAGGGAGTTTTTCTGGTGCGGCGGCTGAACCATGTGGAACCGATGTGTGGACTCCATGAGACTGGTAAGACCCTTGTGTCTGAGTATTGGTGGGCTGAGTAGGTTTCCATGAAGGGTCTGGATTTTTAAGTGCTTCATTTTCAGCCCTCAAGGCTGAAAGCTCTTTCGCGTCCTTTTCCCGCTGTTGTTTCATAGCCTCCATCTCTTGTTTCAGTAGACGAACGGTCTCAGACAGATCGGTTTCATCTACTACCTCCACATGTTCCTCTTCGGTCTAGTAGTCTTCTGTGTTTGTTCTTCTTGTTTTCGCCATTTCCTTGTCAAGTCTTCAAGTCATCCTCAATTCGGTCCCACGGTGGGCGCCAAAATGTACCTGTCAAAAGGATACACCGGTAATCTTCTTGTAGTCTGAGGGCCGAACGAGCACTCCGATCGAATATTTCGGTAAGCCGGGGGTGGAGATACCTGCCCCCGTACCTGTACCCGTCCCCGTTCCTATTTTTAATTTAATACTTACTTTCAATTTAATTATATTAAAGAATTTTAATATTTTTTTATGTGTGATTATTTATTATAGTATGAGATAGATAAATAACGTAATTATAATTATAATATAATAAAAAAAATAATTTAAAAATATCATTTTTTTTATAAAAAAA